CATGTGCAGAACGCAGCTGGAGTTCATGAATAATCAGCGGTCTGCCTGCTGCTCTCTACTCAAAAGAATCCCTGCTACACTGAGTCCATATAACATAGGAAGAAAGTAGATATCTTTTGTGCTCCTTCTGGGTGTGTAAGCTAAGGGCATGACAACCTTTAAGGAGAACCAAGTTGCTCTCCTGTAATTTGAACCCAGTATCCAACTCTGGATCGAGGTTTGGGTCGGGAAGTAAAGCCCGAGTCCCGATCCGTCTGAAACCACGTGATCGGGGCCGATTTCCAATCATGTGATGGGATCGGGACATCCCTAATTTGAAATACATTTCACACCATACTTTTATTAAACATAGCTTGTAAATTTGGAAACCATACAGTTGTATGGTTTTATTACAAAATTATCTTGGATTATATGTATAGTGTTGTTTCACCAGGAAACATGTAATTAAAACATACAGACTCACAGTGTGGGTTTACATTTTTGTTTTTCTCTAACAGAGAATTAAAATAGTTGGGGGTGAGAGATGTTACTATGTTTCAAAAGAGCTAAGTAGCTAATCTTCTATAAATCTAGATCAGACTCAGTCTTTCAACAAGAACCCAGAGTAATGTATGCATCATAAAGTCATTGCTGGTTTTGCATTATTTTTAAATTAAATAAGATTATAGCACAATGACAGTAATGACCTTGTATTCATTTGCAAATGTCAAAGTCAAAGTTGTCCGTGTAAAAATTCAACTGAAATACAGCAAACACAATATAAACACAATAGTAAATGCACTATCTTGGACCAGATACATGACAGGATACCCCAGAACAGCGCTATGCTCTCTGTTGTCCTGGCAGGGGATTGCTCTGCAACCGTCCTCAAGAGACAGAGAAGTCCAAAGGCAAAACGTCTCCAACCGTGCGTGCGTGTCTCTACCTCGTGGAGCTGACGGAGAAGTATAAATTAGACTTTAGGGCTCTACAACCCCCCAAGGCACTTCACAATACAATTAGTCATTCACCCATGCACACACACACATTCACATTATGGTGGGGGTGAGCTACAAGTGGCCACAGCGGTGCTGGGGCACACTGACACAGGTGGGGCCTGCCAAACACAGGCACCACCAACCCCTCTGACCACCACCAGCAGGCAAGGGGGGTTAAGTGTCTTGCCCAAGGACACAACAGCAGCGCTCTCTGGTGGGAGCCGGGATCAAACCTGCAACCTTCTCTTTACTGGACAATCCGCTCTACCTCCTGTGCTTCTGCTGCCCCAAATGATTCAAGACTTTGTTTATTTAACTGAACTTTATCCGGTGGTGGAAGATAAATATAAGAAAGGTAAAGCCTAGATGTTTGCTGTCTATGCCATGTGTCAGCTTTTCTAAATAGATGTGATGAGTAGTAGTGTTATTTTTAACAAATGAGTGAATAAGTGTTGTAATCAGATAAATATATAAATAAATAAAAGCAAATGCTTGAGTTTGTTTTTTCCAAAGATTTATTAGAAGGTGCATACTGTGTTTAAGACCATAACTGTGCTATTCATGTGCACATTACAGAGTGAATAAGAAACACATGAAACCTTTTCCATTAATGAAATTCAACCAGAAATGAAACAACTTAAAGATGATGCATGCACAAAAGAAATTAAGTCGGGATCATTTCAATTACAGACACAGCTAAGAGAGAATATATTGGTGTTGAATGGTCGGTTCCTCTCAGGGCCATGTTGCACTTTATGCAGAAACCTGCTTTGAATCTAGATTTCCTTAGCACCTACTTTTATTCCTTCTATACTTTTTTCTTACTTCAAGCAAAGGAGTTTTGGTGTTTTAGGGTTTTGTTTATCAGTAAGGGAAGAATATCAACTAGTGGATCAGAAACTGAATTGGTTTATGGTTGTCAAGATGGAGCTAAGTCTGGAAGTCAAATTATTTAATTTAGCAGTCAATCCATGTTCCAACATTACCAATCATTGCTTTTTGGTCTTTTTTCACGTCTTTCCAAGAATATGTGAAGCAACAGCTTATTCAGAATGCTGCTGCTAGAGTCTTAGCAAGAACCAAGAGAACCAAACACATCACTCCTGTTCTTAAATCTCTACAGTGGTTACCAGTAAACTACGGAATCTATTTCAAAGTGCTACTAGTTTATAAATCACTCAGTGGCATGGGGCAAGAATACATGTTGGATGTCCTTCAGGTAAATACGCCCAGCAGGGCTCTGAGATCCTTAGAAAACAGCTTGTAGAACCTTGGGTCAGAACCAAACAGGATGAAGCTGCTTTTAGCTGCTATGCTGCACACAGATGGAATCAGCTTCCTCCTGACCTCAAATGTGCCCCAAGTAACCTTTAAATCTAATTTAAAAATGTTCATGTATTCATCAGCCTTTGAATGAATGTGTCTTATGCTGCACCTTCTGCATTGTAACAACTCACCCTTTAACTTTGCCTTTATTCTGAAATTATTTTGTGTATTTAATCTGATCTGCATTTATGTGTGTATTTGAATTGTGCTGTCAAGTTATTTTAATGTCCGTGCTATTCTCACTAATGGAAAGCTGACTGAATAGCCTCTTTGTATAGATTAAGCTGTCTTCCCTTGCCATTCTAACCGAAAGAACAAGATTGTGCATACAGGACACCAAATGAGTTTCTTCCAAAGAGGTGGCTGAAATGAGCCTGAGACAAAAAGTGAGAAGCATGGATAACTGAGAGAAACTCAATAAACATCCTCCAACTCCTCTACACCATGAGATATTGGCATGTGGGTGGCATACCTCCTGGATGGCCTCTTGGGAAGGTGTTAGGGCATGGCTTTTGGGATGAGACTCTATGGCTAACCCAGGAACCGCTTTACCATCACACCTGGTTTTGGAGTGTCTTTGGATTGAAAAAGATTTTCAAACATGATTACATTTCCCATTGGTATTCAAAAGCAAGGCAGGGAGCTAAGTGAAAAATTGTCAATCTGGTCAATATTTTCAACTCTTGGGTAAAAAAAAAAATCCAGATAACCTTACTGATCCATTATTTGAGTTTATCAAAACTGCCAAGGGTGACCGTTTAATCTGTAGACAAAGAATCAACAAATAGCTGATCTAGGAAGCAGAAGTGTGACCAAGTCACTGCTTTGCAAGTCACAAGTAAGTCACAGGTCTTTACAGTCAAGTCCAAGTCAAAGACAACCAAGTCCAAGTTGAGTCCAAAGTCAATGAACTGGAAGTCCAAGTCAAGTCCAAGTCCTTAACTTTGAATTTTCAAGTCATAATCAAGTCATCTGTTCAACTTCAATTTAATGACAATGATAATGAATGAATTCCAGAAAAAAAGCTTCTTAAAGCATCATTTATTTGCTCAAACAAGCAGAAAGTGCAACTCAAATAGATTGTAAACAAAGTGCTGCTGCGTTTAGCAGTACAAGATCTAACCCAGAACGAAGAATAATTTCTGATTTTTGTCCATCTTGTGCCACTTTTGTGCTAAAATATCAAATATGCTCAAGTCGCAGTTGTTAGCACTGTTGCCTCGCAGCACGAAGGTTGCAGGTTCAAAACTCGGCTGTGTCCTTTCTGCGTGGAGTTGTGTGTTCTCCCCATGCATGCGTGGGTTTCATCCGGGTACTCCGGTTTCCCCCACAGATCACAACATGCCCTACAGGTTATAAATTGTAAGTCACTTTGGATAAAAGTGTCTGCCAAATAAATAAACAGAAACATAAACATAAGTCAACAGATGCAAGTCGATTCAAGTTGCTAGTCATTGGCGTTCAAGTCCGAGTCAAGTCATAAGTCTGTATAGACTTTATCAAGTCAAGTCAGAAGTCATTAAAATAATGACTCGAGTCTGACTTGAGTCCAAGTCATGTGACTCGAGTCCAAGTCATGTGACTCGAGTCCACACCTCTGCTAGGAAGTAATCTGTTGATTGTTTAACCCTCCCACTGTCCTAACGGGTGTGACCCTGTGAGGAAAGTTGACCATTGAGCAGGGTTGATGGTTTATACATTGGCATGTGGCAGGGGTGAGGAGTGAGCATCACCTCACTCCTGGCTCGTGGACCTCAAGGGATAAACCATCAATCCTGCTCAATGGTAAACTTTCCTAGCGGGGTCACCCATAAAGGCAATGGGAGGGTTAAGAGGATGTCACTCATCATATTAGATGTCAAGCTCTGATATAACTCTGGTACCAGAGACGGAATTGGTGCGAAAGTAAACAACTTTTAGAAGTTATTTGTTTTGGTTTGGGATTCAGGAAAGTAGCAGAGCTATGGATGTTTCTGAACACCATGTGGTAAATACATTAGGAAGAGCTAAACTATCTGATGTCCGAGGGGACAGATCTCTAGCGTTCCGTAGCTTCTAGAGACAGTCTGTGCGTTTTCCAAGGGACGATCTATCTCATTCTCAATTCACACTGTCACATAAAAACTTTCACCCCACATCCATGGTGTTTCTTTTATGTTTTTGTCTCTTTTGTTCCATAAGGTATAGTGGCTGTTATGCAACTGTGTTTCTTGAAACAGAAGGTCAGCTTTAAAAGGTTTTCATTAGTGAAAAGGTTGGCGCTTTCAGGTGTGAAACAGCACCACGGCAGAGCAAAAAAACTCAAAATTACTTGAATTTAAGAGAAAAAAATAATTGTTTTGTATGAGTTAATGGATGGTAAAACAGCCATGGAATCGGCTCAGCGTTTAGACACAATATTTGTCTTTTGTAAACAAATCATGCAGTGACACATTTCTTTCAGTCTCACCTATTTCCATAAAGCACAATGGGCGTGTGTGTGTGTGTGTGTATGTGTGTGTGTGTGTGTGTGTGTGTGTGTGTGTGTGTGTGTGTGTGTGTGTGCACGCGCACGTGTGTGGGTGCTGTCTGTGAGGTCTACTCCCTCCACTACCCTGAGCGGTGGCTAGGGGGTGCACTGTGGACACGGTGTGTGTATGGTTGAGAGAGACGTGTGTGTGTGTCTGTAATGTATTCCTGCCTGTGGCTGGGCTGGTCACATGGGGAGAGCAGCCTGTTTAAAACAGCCTCGGCTCCCTCAGTCAAAGCATTGCAAGACAGACACACACACGTTCATTCTCCTCCTCCACATGCACACTTGCTCCTACTCATGCACGCAGGACGCAACTTTCCTCTAACGGACTGACACCGCACACACGCCAGGATACACATACTCCCGTTCTACTTTGGAGAAGAGGATAAGGAGTGAAAGATCAGGATCAGGAAGCACAGAAAAGGAAGGACATTCCCAGTGAGTAGCTGATTTTGATTGCCATTCTTCAAATTTACGTCTTTTTCTTTACCTTTCGGAGCTTTGGTCCTCTTCAGCACCCTCTGTCCAGGACCTGCCAGAGACCATGAGAGGGACAGAGAGGTGGATGGAGGGGGGTTTGAGTGAAAGCTGGACAAATGGAAAGCTGAAAACTAAAAGGAAGGTGACAGAAGGGAGTAGGGATGTGGTGCTAGTGCGACGCCGGACTACCTCCTCCATCAGCCTCTGCCTCTGTCTCTGGGATCTAATGATGTTAATTAGCAGCGTGTGCTTGGAATGAGAGGAATGCCACTCCACGAGGCTGAAGTAGTGTTTGTCCCAGACTCTTGTGCCTGCTTGTGTGTCTGTGCATGTCCTCTCGGTCTCTTTTATTGCCTTTTGGATGCCAGCTGCAGCGCTGTAGCCAGTCATAGTGATGTGGAGCAGATTTGTAGGGACACACGTTGTGTTTTGTTGTGATTAATAGAAGCTTTTTGACATGCAAATGGAAGTGGAGAGACTTGTCACTAAATCTGGTGATGTGAGGGATGCTTTAGGGAAAAGGGTTGCTTTTCCTCTTCCTCATTCATAACTCTTTCTGGATTTGTGTGTCCTCTATGTTGACTCAGTCTTTTTATGTTTCCTTTCCTCCTTTGCGCATTTGTGTTTTTTTCTTCCACAGCTGTCACTAATCTTTCCCTGACATGTAGTCCCAATCCTCACTACCTTTTTTCTGTCTGAAACTCCCTGCTTTCTGTCAACCTCATGCTGTTACCTGCTGTTCAGCTCGGCGGCTTCTTCAGCTGAGCAGAAACGGAAAGGATCGCAGAGTTGTGAGGAGGGCAAGAGGGGAGGGAAGGTGGGGAGAAGAAAGAGAGAGGAATGACAGAGAAAGTGGAAAGAGGGGAGGGCTAGGGCGGGGGCATTGAAAAGGCTGACACTGGCTTGGACAATTAGCCCAGGGAGTCCGTCCTGGGGTGCTATTCTGAGAGGAGCTTTGGCCCCTGGGCCCTGGGTGCTGGGTCACGGGATGCCTTGACCCTTCCAGTCGACAGCTAGGCATGGGAGCCATTATCACAGCCTGATTGATTAGCAGTGAGCGGAAATCCCTTTTCACTTCACTCTTTGGGAGAAAAAGACAGGAGGTTTTTGTCCTTTTGCTGCTCCTGATTTGGTATCTGTCTGTCTGAAAGTTTAAAGCTCAGTCTTGTTTTTTTTTACGTCTGGACCTTCCGTCTGATATTGTTTTTTTCTCTCTTGTGGGAAATATTCAGCCTTCTGGTCTGGTTTCCGCATCGCCTCTGCTCTTTGAGGCTCTGAGTGGCGCACCTGCAGGGATTTGTTAGTTAGGCTGTTTAGTGGCGATGCCTGACCCCCAAGGAGGGAAACAACGAAGCAAAGGCAAGGCAGGGAGCTAAGTGATGAAAAATTAGATCGTAATCTCCAGTTTTACCTTTACTTGTGTCCCTATCTTCATTTCCACTTTGGTCTGCGCTGTCCCATCTCACACCATAACTGGCCCCGCTTCTGCCCCCCCCCCTCCGCCTCAGACTGAGAGTTTAGTGGGGTGTTTAGCCCAGCTCACGGCTGATCAAAGCAGTGTGTGTCAGACTGGGCTTAGCTCAGGCGCTCCTAATGGAGCACCGTTTTCATGCCTAGTTGGTGGTGGAGTGGGAGGAACTGATAGGTGGGTGGGTGGGGTGAAAAATAATAAAAAGGAGGGGTGCAAATAGACAGAGTTACAGAAAAGAGTCAAAGAGAGAAAGACAAGACAGCAGCTAACCAGACAGTTGGGAAGGTGAAATAAAGGAATAAATAGTCAAGTTTTTTTTTTATTTATAATTCACATATTTGTTTCTCGTTGCTCTCTATAGGAACGAGCTGATGTCCATAGGTTAGACAGGTCAGGCTCTCCTGGTTTAACTGGAGGTAGCAGCAAACAGGATGAGACAGGTGTGTGTGTGTGTGTGTGTGTGTGTGTGTGTGTGTGTGTGTGTGTGTGTGTGTGTGTGTGTGTGTGTGTGTGTGTGTGTGTGTGTGTGTGTGTGTGTGTGTGTGTGTGTGTGTGTGTGTGTGAAAGGGAGAGAGAGAGAGAGAGAGAGAGAGAGAGAGAGAGAGAGAGAGAGAGAGAGAGAGAGAGAGGTTTGTGTGCGTGTGTGTGTGCATGGTAAGCATCTATATGTCCCGTATGCAAACATCACAGATGAGCCTTTAAAACCTATACTGAATGTTCACAAAAGTCAGAAACTGGATGTTTATTTCTGTTTTTAACCCTTCTGTTGTGTTTGGGTCAAAATTGACCTGTTTTCCAGTCTAACTGTGTAAAAAGTACACTTTCCTTTCTTGTCCTGGAATGAGGCTTCTTCTAATCCTCAGACACACCTATGCAGCAAAATCAGTTTTCACAATTTTAGCTAATTCTAAAGGTCTAAAAAAAATAAAAAGTTATATCTGTGGTGTTACGGGTCCAAAGTGACCCGGCAGAGAAAACTGGCTGTTGTTTGCATCACTTAAAAGCTATGGGTTACTCTGAGGATCAGTTATGGCCCAATGTGCACAGTTATGGCCCACATCACACACACACACACACACACACACACACACACACACACACACACACACACACACACACACACACACACACACACACACAGTTCAAATTATGGTTTGTTTTCATTGTTTCCAGTGTTTAGATCATGGTTAATTCAGAACAACATACCTGCACTAACACCATATTATTTTCAATGTTCAGTTCATGATCAATGCAGGTGCATGTGCGTGCACACAGCCACACACACGGTGTTGTTTATCATTGTTTATTTTTTGGTTCAATTGTTTGGTTAATTGGTCTGGTTAAATAAAAGTTGGTCTCACAGAAAAAAATGACTTTTTGTCTTTATCCTACCATTTATCTATGCGGGTCCATTTTGCCCCAAAGCACCAAATATGTCACTATTGCTAATAATTTTAAATAGTAAAAAAAAAACTTTTTTTGGTAGGTGTACACTAATATTAGTTTATAACACATTTATAGTTTGTTATTACTCATTCTATAAGCAAAAGAAATATATTTAGTGAATTTAAACAGTGTTTGCAATCAAAAACGAGTGGTATATTTTAAAATACTGTGTCTGTGGAGTCAACTAAAAAACTATTCACCTGCTGGTTCCATTCATATGAATACATACTAAGCCAGCAATTAGCTGAAGAACAACATTGGAAGAAAACTGGTGATTTTAAGCATTTTCAAGCATTTTAAAATCATGGGTCCATTTGGACCCGCTAACACCACAGGTGTAAACAGCTTTCTAACAAAATACAAGGGTTAAAATATTTAATAATTAAATGTAATAATCTGACTAACTAATCACTACAGTTGCATTTAGAAGTGATTCTAAATCAATTAAGACATAGTATTTGTCATTCTTGTGTGTTTACAGGTTTGAGCGACATCAGTAGTTTTTTTCACTTTTGAACTTCTTTCATCTGTCTTAAAAAACATACTTTCTCGATCTCCCAGCATCCTTCTCTTTCCATTTTCTTCTTGTCGTCTTTGCTCTTTTCACCATCCTTCACCATTATCGATGCCTCACCTTGGTTTTCCCCCCTCGATTCCTTCCCTTCTCTCCCCATCTCAGTCCTCTCAGATCCACCTCTGTACGCTTTTGTATTCTCTTTGTCTCCACTCTCCCATCCCCACTTTGTAATGCTGATGTGTATGCTTCACACAGAAGAAAGGTAAGGTAAGACTAGGATAATATTTCCCCTAACATGCTTACAGCCTGGGTAAACATCCTCACACAGATGTCCGAGAGCAGGAGAAGAGGGGCTGGGATTCAGGGATGTTACGAACACATAGGAAACAAATTGGAAGCTAGCAAGGTCAAGGCTGGAACAATGAGCTGGGAGGTACAAAATTGTTTAAAGATCCTTTAAAACAACTTTTTGGAATCAGGTTCTTTTTAAAGGCCAATGTAATGATGATGAGGATGATGAGAAAAAAAATCTGTTTGCTGTTTGTGGCCAGCCTTGTGGTAGAGTGTCCGACCTGAGACTGGGAGATCAGGGTTCGATCCCTGGTCGGGTCATACCAAAGTCTTTGAAAAAAATGGGACCCAGTGCCTCCCTGCTTGACACTCAGCATTAAGGGGTTGGATCGGGGGTTAAACCACCAAATGGTTCCTGAGCACAGCTGTGTCTGCAGCTCACCGCTCCCCCAGGGGATGGGTCAAATGCGGAGAACAAATTTCGCACACACATCAGTGTGTGTGACAACTGATGGGACTTTAAGTTTAATTTGTGCTTCTTGTATCTCTACATGGTTGAAAGATGCTGAAGCATACTACCACATAGTGCAGTCTAATAATAAAACATAGGTTCAAACATGTTAAAGCTAATCTGGAAACAAGCTAGGTTTTGAACGCAAACATGGTAGTGGAAGACTCACCTCTCCCCTCGGGTATCTTCCCTGAGATGCTTCTGCCAGAACCAGAAACAGCAATACTGGAGGGTACGAGATGATGCTAAACACCTGTCACTGCTTTCTAGGTCCAATCATCTTTTGATGTCCTTGGCTTCAAATGGTATTTTTCTTTTTGGGACTCGTAGTTTGTCCTAAAGTTGATGTGGTAGCAGCCGGCTGGTTCTCCTTCTCTGATAGTATTGAGTGGAGAACCTCTCACACCAGTGGTGTTCTGTTGATAAATACGCAAGTGTGTAATGAGTAGAGGACCCAGGGAAGTGCGGCGGTTCAGTGAGATGACAACGGGATGGTCAAATAGTTGGTTTCAGTCCAAAATGTGTTATTGGTGGAGGTTTTTAGACAAATGCCAGAGAACCGCTTTATTAATTATTTTAGTGTTTTTTTTAATCACCACAGTATATTTATTTAGAATGTTAAGAGGGAAAAAAACTGTTTTAAGCTAATTTGTTTTTCAAACTTGCCATTGTAGCCTTGAATCTTGTAGAAACTCATTAAAAAACTGCTATTTTAAAACGAC